TATATATATATATATATATGCATGTGTGTATATATATATATATATATATGCATGTATATGTATGTATGTATGTATATATATATGCATGTATATGTATGTATGTATATATATATATTCAAGTAGTATTATTGAAGATCAGTAGCATTGACAGCTATGATTTAACTTGATCTTTCTGAATTACTTCTGGCTTGAATCCTTAGAAAATAAACTGCTGTTCGGTCTCCAAAAGTAGCTCTCACCCATATCATTGTGAAACATGTAGAAACACAACGTGATTTCAACAGCTAGTCCACACATCACTGGACATTTTAATAATGTACCTATAGCAACAGTGCTCTGGTTATTGGAGATTAAGCTTTTTATTACTTCCCTGCTGTAGTTACCAAGGGAACTCTGATGAAGTTGGCTGCTACGTGGCTCCACGCCCCTTATCAAAGGGAAACTGTTACTTCGAGGTAAGCAGCACACCTATGTTGTCAGGTTGCTAATAACATTAGAATCATTTAAACACCCTTTCTATTGCCTTTGTTAGGAAATCCAGTCACCTAAGTACTAATAACTTTATGTAACTGTATGCACACAGATGTCAAGTCAAGTCATTTAAACTATTTTAACCTAGTGTAATTTCGTGGATTTCCTATATTGTATGCCTCAGTCACACTTTTTTTTGATGTTTTTAATTGTCCAAATGTTTGACTTTCATCTCGCCTTTGACTATCATTCATTTCACAGCAGTTTGAACTAATCAGCATACCATGTCAGGGCTTGACATTAAGCATTCTCATGTGGTTGTATAAAAGTTACTTGCCCGTAGAGAAAAAAAGACATTTAAATTGAGTTATAAATCTAATTATTTATTGTAGTTATACAAAACATAGTATAGTGTTTATATAGAGTATATGTCGTAGATTTTGTGAGCATGTCACATTTAGTTTTAGTTAAATTTTTCTTTTTAAATAAAATATTAAACAAAATAATAAAGTGAAATCAGTATCAACAAAATTAATCTTTGCAATGCAGAGGAAACACAGAAGCTGCATCTGAAGTGGAATAGATATATTTACTCACTGTTTAATGCAGCTCTGAGGGACATGGAATGCTTTAAACTGTGGTTACAAATGAATAAATAATGTTTTGATACACAAAACGTTGAATACTGATATTTGAAATTATAAAAAAAAATAAAACAAAAAAAACTTTAAATGTGAAATAAAAACCGCCAGTAGGTGGCATCAAGTCACTGTTAATAAGCGAGTCATTGCGATTGAACCGAATCATTTAAACGATTGATTCATTCAGGAACAAAACACCGTCATGTTGCTCAGAGACGCAAAACAGAGCTGTGGCTGTGTTTGGAATTATTTCTGTTGGCGAAATAGAACAAAAACAGGCAATATGGTGTCTAAAACGTAAGTCTCTTAAAGGGTTAGTTCACCCCAAAATGAAAATTCTGTCATTAATCACTCACCCTCATGTCGTTCCAAACCCGTAAGACCTTCGTTCATCTTCAGAACACAAATTCAGATATTTTTGATGAAATGTGAGAGCTCTCAGACCCTGCATAGACAGCAATGCAACTGTAATGTTCCCAGGTCCAGAAACGTAGTAAGGACATCGGTAAAACAGTCCATGTGACATCAGTGGCTCAACTTCTGTTTTGCGAAGCTATGAGAATACTTTTTGAGCACAAAGAAAATAATAATAACATAATTTATTTAACAATTCTTCTCCCCCGAGTTACGTCTTCCGCCATTATCACAGAGTATCACAATGCATACGCACACTTTCCCCAAAGCGTAAACAACGCTGGAGATTACGTTCATGCGTGCGCTTTCTCCCCCGAACGTAAACCACGCTGATTATGTCGATTACGCTCTTGGGTACTCTCCAAAATGGTGGAAGGCATAACTCGGGGGAAAAGAATTGATAAATAAATTGTTATTTTTGTTTTCTTGTAGCTTCGCAAAACTGACGTTGAGCCACTGATGTCACATGGACTGTTTTACCGATGTCTTTACTATGTTTCTGGACCTGGGAACATTACAGTTGCGTTACTGTCAACCACGCCTACCTAAAACGGCTCATTCTAACATGCCCCCACATGTCTACATCACGATGTGGGAAGATTTGCATAATGCTGCCCAAATGTTCACGCAAAGAAAGAAGGCGTAACTTTTATTCTCGCTGTAGTATTGGCGTTGCCACCACCGCCATGTCGTGAAGGCGCTGTGTGTTTTGTTGTGAAAGCGAAACTACTTTGTTTGGTCTTCCAAAAGAGGACGATATCCGCTTCGTCATGCCTGGAGCTGATCCGTGCTGGTCGCTGAGGAAATACATCAACTTCGCGCTGTGGATCGCCGGATCGGCTTTCCCCGTGGCCAAAGCAGAGTCCAGCCCGGGGTCGTCACATGTGGTTGCCGCAAGCCCGCCCGCCCGCCGCCGCTCACTCAAGCTGGCCTCCGCTCACTCTAGGCTGCCGTCCGCCACTCTCTCTAGCCGCCGACCTCCGCTCACTCTAGCCAGCCGTGTGTGATGCTGTGTTTTGTTGTGAAAACGAAACTACTTTGTTTGGCCTTCCAAAAGAGGACACAACTAGAAATCAGTGGTTAAGTTGTATTTACAACACTGTTCTAGAACAGTCCAATCCAAATATTCCAATGTGTCCAGCGCATTTTATGGAAGACTGTTTCCTGATCCTGGTAGAGTAGACTACAATTCTGGCTGTTCTGACTCACGATTAGTCATTATAGTGTATAAGTCATTATAATCCGTAATTATGTCCCCACTGGATGCAACAAATGCCTCGTTTATAATGGGTTTGAATGTTTTTGTCTCGTCGCTCCGGCCGGGACAAGGCATCACAATATGGCAAGGGGCGTAACATTTCCATCACACGCTTGAGGTATTCGGCCAATCACAACGCACTGGATAGCTGGCCAATCAGAGCACACCTCGCTTTTCAGACCGATGAGTTTTGTAAAAATCGACGTGTTTCGGAAAGGCGGGGCATAGAGGAGAAACAATAATGTACAGTATGTGGAAAATAATGTGTTTTTTGAACCTAAAACCGCTTAAACACATTTAATTACACGCTCGATCTTTGTGTGATATTGTTTAACTATATGAAATGATATAAATATTTACATTTTCTGCCCCCATATCTTGAATTTTCTGATCATTCTTCATGCATTTTAATACTGAATCATGCAGTGAAAGAATGCACACGTTCACTAGTCTAACCCAGTGTTTCCCAACCTTTTTTTAGTCGCGGCACCCTTTGGAAATTTTAACAAATTTGTGGCACCCTACAAAATTAATTTAAATTCATTTTGAATTAATTAAGTTACAATACTTGAATTTCTAACTTCGATATGATACTTTGAAAAGTATAGATATTCGGTAAAGCAGGAAAGAACTGCAGAATATACTGTCATACAGATATTTTTTATATTATTAAATTGTATTGTCCATCAATGGTGGCAATCAGTAGGCTAATTTCTAATGAAGAGACCAATTTATATGACAGATTTTAATGTAGGCTTTTATTCATATGTAAACATTGTTTAATTACCATTATAACTAGATATCTCACAAATTTTTGTATTTACGGTGGGGTAATGTTTGTTGCAGTAGCATGAATTAGCTTGATTTCAAACTTTGAATTGAATAAAAAATGACAAGTAAGCAGTCAGTAATAAAATAAGAACAAATAAAGAAATTACTAATGATAGCACAAATAAAAAAGAATGATAGGCCTACAAATGAAATAAATTGCTTTTTAGGTTTTCAGGTAGGTCTAACAGTAGGGCTATTAAGAGATTTAGGTTTTTTGTTGTTGTTTTTTTTTAACCAATTATCCAAATAATGTTTAGTCCTAGAAAGCTATTATTATCAGTACACGTGAGCATAACATAGCGGTTAGCAGATCATGAATGAGAGGGCAGCGTTACCAGAGTTGCCCATATACCACACTATGTTACAGCACAGTAGGGCTATTGCAAACAGAAACAATACTGTACTACATCGATGTTTCCTGTCGGCTCGATTTTTGAGTTCACTTTGCTGTTCCGATGAGCATGAACGGTATACGAGTGGAGCGACTGAGCGGAGCACACACATGCATAGAGCGGGATAATACGCAGAGCATCACACCACGTGAAAGTGAATCCTGAGTGATGAACTAATTTTCGGCAGCCGGAATTTTGGTGCATCTCTAATTATTGGCGACATCAGAAATGGATATTATATGTTTTTTGAACATTTTAGCAATTTAAAGATATTAAAAAAGGATTTTTTACATGGCACCCCTGCTCTCGACAGACGACACCCCGGTTGGGAAACACTAATCTAACCTAGCGGGATAATACGCAGAGCATCCCACCACGTGAAAGTGAATCCTGAGTGATGAACTAATTTTCGGCAGCCGGAATTTTGGTGCATCTCTAATTATTGGCGACATCAGAAATGGATATTATATGTTTTTTGAACATTTTAGCAATTTAAAGATATTAAAAAAGGATTTTTTACATGGCACCCCTGCTCTCGACAGACGACACCCCGGTTGGGAAACACTAATCTAACCTAGTGGACTTCTTTACGTAGGCCTAATGTATGCGTGCACTCTGTAGGTGTGTTTTGTTTGATTTTTGCAATATAGTCGATAATGTCAAATCACACATCGTTAAAACAACAATTACGATATTATCGCAGACGATATATATCACACACCCCTATAACAAACGCTATATCACAAATAAAGACAGATATTATTGTTTTTGGTATTAACATTTTCAAGTTACTTGTCCGATTGGGCAAGTAAATTTCTCTTTCACTTGCCCATCCAAAACATTCACTTGTCCCGGACAAGCGTTAATGTCGAGTCCTGCATGTAAATTTTTGGAAAGAAAATGAGCTTTCACAAGTGAATGCTGTTTGAAAAACTTAGTAATCAAGATCTTTTATGACAGTTTTGATAATTATTAACGACTGATTTTGTCCAAATCAGGTCATGAAATCGTTCTGAGCTAAAATCACTAACAAATTTATGGCTGTCAACAACCACTTCCAAGAGCTGCTAGTAATCTGTTTTTAAAATGTGTAATGCTTCCTGTGTCCATGCACATCACAATAGACACTGCCCTTTGAGTTGATATGCTCAGATAGCACCGTTACCTCTCTAGCAACTTTGCCATAAAATCCAGTTTGGAAAAGAAGCTCCCAGGTGATTAAGTACCGGAAAACTCGCAGGGATTGGGCTATAAATTAGTCTTTGGGAGAGGGCAAGCGTTATTTAATTTATGGAGCGTAGCAGACGCTGCCTGGATGTGTATCTGAGGCAGGAGACAGCTCTGATGGGTTTTCTGCTGCTGGCAGATTGAGCTGGTGTGATGAACTTCCTCTCTGGGGGATTGGAGCTGGAAAGTAACACCCTGTATGAAACTCAGATGAGTCCTACGGAGAGCCAGTGTTTTTTTTTTGTTTTTCTTTTCAAATATAGGTTTTGTCTTCTTTGTACTTTGATGAAAAAGCCTTTAAATGTAGTCAATATTTTGTCATTTTTAGTCAATTTAAAATGCATATAATGATAAAAACTAATTTAATAATTTATTAATTGAAACTTCTTATCAACATAAAGTATTAGCTACTTTTTAGAAGTTGCTGTCTTATGTATTCTTCCACAGAGATTATTATTAAGTTTCTGTGTTTTTGTGACCATTTAGGAGACCGTTGCATTATATTTAGCATGCAGTGTTGTGGTAGTGACTCATTCATAACGAGAGCTGCATGTTTTACTTATTGTTTGTGCAGATGTAGGTTGTGATAATTAGGGCTGCCCTCGACTAAGGATTTTTCTGGTCGATTAGTAGTCGTTCATTTGAAGCATTAGTCGACTAATCGCACATTTATTAATAAACAATTTAAATCATTATAATAAGCCTTTAATTGCCTACATAGCCTAAGCTCTCAAGCACACTTATAAAGCTTGCCACAACGAAGCTAATGATTATGAATGTGTCGGGGAAAAACCGTAAGGAGGCTGCATTAACATTTTAATAATGTATTGATAAACTGTGCTTTCCTTGTTTTCAGTTTAAGGGATGAAGTCGGTGACACTGACTCGTCATCTCCACAGTAGTGGACGCACCTGTATGCATGTTTCATACGGATTACATAATCAGAGAATATTTGTTTTCCATTTGAATTGGTTCATTTGAAAGTAGACATTTTGCTCTCTATAGATACATTTTTTTCATGTCTGTAAGACAAATATACATGGAGTTTCGCACTCAAGTTCACAGAGACATAGACGCCAGAGAGCTTATCCTGTTTGCTTTCATTATTTCACAAAAGCGCAGTGTTTTGTTGTTATTGTGAGTGCACATAAATAAACGTAGAGTCTTTACAGATTCGAAAGATGTATAACTCCTATCTGTATGACCAAAAATAAGTATTTTAAGAGCATGTGAGAGCACCGGCGCCTCCATCTGTCCTGCAGTGAGCGTGCTTCTACACTCCACACAGACACTTCAATAGCGCACATTTTTCTAGGTTAGCCTAACATTAGATTGAGTGGCCATGTAAAACAGCTAATACTTACATATTTCAGATGATAAGCCACATTTGAGTTCAATGAATGATAGGCTAGCATTTGGGTGTCCTGCCCGATGTACTAGCCTACCACATAGACCAGCCGTTAACGATCTGTCCGTCACGGACTGCGTGACTTCGCCTGTGGATATGTTTTTTTTTCTTCTTTTTTGCGACTAAAAAAATTTTGGTTGACTATTAGTGGGAAGCCCTAGTGATAATAACTATAGGGATGCACTGAATGTTCAGCAACTGAAATTATTTGTCCGAAAATAGCCAAAAAATCTCTTTCGGCCAAATAAGCGAAAAGACCAAATAAATTGTACCGAACAATGGCGTGACGCGATCAAATAGAGGCGTGCACTAATGCAGCAAACATGTTGGCAGTATGGAAGCATTTAAAACTGTCCGAGAAAGACACAAAAATCATTACAAGCACCGACAGCGAGAGACTGTTTCGCACTGCATCTCATGTCTTCAATAAAAAGAGGAAGGGGTGGTTACTGTATGATGATTGAAATCGTGAAATGGCCTTAAACAAATAAACAGTAGAACGTTATGTTTTCTAATACACACACAAATTGCATTTATTCTGAGAGTGCCGCATGAGCTCATGGCGCTATCTTCTTGTTAGACAGGGTTCAAAGTGCAAGGAAAATCTGCGCTGAAACAGTGTTACTCATTAGTTGCTCAGTAACGTTTTTATGAATTTTTACAAGGCATTTTTACAACTCTTATCAGGATCCTTATGATTAATATAAATTTCAAAAGAACATCATTTATTTAAATGGAAATCTTTTGTAACATTATACGTCATTACTGTCACTTTTGTTCAAATTAGTGTATCCCCATGTATTAAAATAAAAACAAAATTTTTTTTTTAATTTTTTTTTTTTTTTTTTTTTTAAATCTTATCGATCCCACCTTTGAACAGTAGTGTTTGTTAAATTAATTAATTCTGTTATGATATAATACTTTTATTTTTTTTTTAGATCTTAGTCTAAAACCAAATTTTTATCAGTAATTATAGGCAATCCACATCCAGTTGATTTTTGTTGATTTTCATACCCATCCTTGTTGTCTCTTAAATCAAGGAGTGTTCTGTAAAATCTGAGTCTGTGTTTTGGTTCTGCCCATTTTTTAAGGAATTAATGAGACTGTAACATTTATTCTAATTTAATAATCTTATTTGTAAAAAAATTCTCAAAGCAAATATCTCAGACCGGACTGTATCGCAATCTTGTTGACCAATAGCGTCACTCAGTGCGTGATTGTGCACCCTGGGAATATCCGCAGCCAGTGGGAATGAATGTGACATCTTCAGCAGCGAGCTATGAGTAATCAATAAAGAACTCGCTCTTGCCTTATACATTCTCTACATCACCTGATGGTGACGCAGAATTCTTCAGATTGGCTAAGTCTGGGAACTTTTTTCCCTTCTTCTCCATAAAGGTCATCTGCCAGTCGGGATTTGCGTCAGCGTCGTCCTCATGTTTCCTCATTACATTTTCACAGGGGTTTCATTTCAGCCCCTGTGGGCAGGGAAGTCAACGCTCCATCAAAATTGGACCGTGTTGCCGCACCTTCACTGCCTGTTTCAACACTGAAGTGCCATACAGTGATTAACCTCTGCTCTGTTTTCTCAGGGTGCTCACGTGTGCATGTGCAAATCAATTTTGTCCTTAGTCAAGTGGAAATATCTCTATTAGTGTAATTGATTATTTTCCCTGGAGCTCCGGCGTGGAATTTTGTAGCCACAAGGTTCATGGCACGGTTCTTTGTTGAAGCTGTGGTAAAAATAATTTAGTGCCCTTAAATTAATCATTGTGCACTGTATTCGCAGCAGGAAAGGCTTTAAATCCAGCAGCAAGCTTTTGTATGTAGGGTATTAGAATTTACAGTCGCTTCTCAAAGCTTGGAAAGCAAATCCTCGAAAGAGACAACCAGGAAGACTTGGACTTAAACCTGTGGGAATCGTTGGGGTCCTTTTTCTACACCCGTGTGTGGTTTTGGCTGGGGGTGCAGAGTTAAGTTTAGTTTGTAGAGCAATAACGGTAAATTTGTCTATGCTTGCCCCCTCCGAGGGTACGGCTGCAATTGTTGAGTCACATGCATTGGGATTAATCAATTTTTTTTGCATGATAGTCCCTCAAGATCAACAAATCTTATTCCATGTTGAATTTTCAATGAAACCAATCGCTCTGTCTGTCTGAGAACTTGATTTATGATCATGAGAAAATTTAACAAATGAGCTTTGGTAGTCCTTTCCAAATTTCTTAGCTGTATGTTGAAAATGTACTAGCTCTGAGGAGGTTGCCGTGAAGAGGGTGTGGAAGTTGTTCTCGAGATGCTTTGCATACAAAGGGAGAGATAAGTAGTAGCCGGGACGTTCAAATTCTTAATAGCAGGTTACCTGACATTTCCATCCTGTGACTCAGCCTAATGCTTCTTGTTAACTGTTGATTCCAACACCGTCTGTTATTTTGGAATCAGTGCCGCTCGTGACGCACATTACCGGTGGCATTTGCTTAGAAGTCCCTGAAAGCCGTCTTTTGCCCTTTAGTCATTTCAGAACAAACTGTCATAAAAAAAGCAGAACTGGTTAGCTGTGCCGCACGTATACAGATGCCCATGTGTTTTTAATGGTTTTTATGCTTCTTCAAGGTGACCATTATAGATACTGGGGTGAGAGGGACGATTGCTGTTGGGCTGGTTCCCCAGTATTACAAACTTGACCATCAGCCTGGCTGGCTTCCACATTCAATAGCTTACCATGCCGATGATGGAAAGTAAGTTCGTTTTTTTTTTAATTTGTTGTCTTGTTTAAATATTTAAGGTATTTTGATAGATAATTTATTAAATTGTTCTTTTAAACAAAATGTGTTTTTTGTCAACTTTGTTTTGTTGGTTGCCTGGTGACATTTTTTTGATTCAAGATCACTTCTTTTTTCCATGAATCTTTCCAGTTGTATGTCATTGATGACTCTATCTCTCCTGTTCACAGGCTTTACAATGGTAACCCCGTCGGCCAGCAGTTTGGTCCTAAATGTAACCGTGGTGACCGAATCGGTTGCGGTATCTATGCAGACACTTTCGATGCCGGACTCCTCACTGTGTTTTTTACAAAGAATGGCAAGGAAGTGAGTCTCCATGCCTTGGTATCAAAGTCACAGCACATGTCACCAATTTACAGTAATGCTAATGCAAATACTTAGTGTATTGCTGATGAACACTGCTGTTGAAAATTATGGAGTCAGTAAGTAACTTACATTGTCATAAAAAAAATCTTTAAAAGAATGCTAATCTTTAAAAGTATCACAGTTTCCAACAAAAAATGTAGCAGCACAACTGTTTTCAACATCACAATAATAAGAAGAAATGTTGCTGGAGCACCAAATCAACAGGAATAATGATGCTGAAAATTCAGCTTTGCATCGCATGAATAAAATTACATTTTTAAATATATTCAAATAGAAAAGTTATTTTAAATTTTAATAATATTTCACAATATGTTTTTACTGACCAGATAAATGCAGCCATGGTGAGCAAAAGAGACTTCTTTTAAAAACTTTTAAAAATATTACTGACCCTGAACTTTTGAATGGTAGTTATGTTGACTGTATAAAATATATCAATGAACTGACATTTATAGATGATTTAGGTTAAATTAAATTTAAGACTTATCTAAGTTTAAAGCTTCTAAACATCCCTTTAATTCTGTATTTACATAAATAATCAAATTGCAAAATAAAACAGTGTTAAACACATTTAATTAATTGCAAGTGTTAACTTTGCCAACCCTATGTAAAAATAATTAGACACTATAGATTTAAGCATTCTTTAGCTAATCACATAACATCTGCATCAAACTATGAGTTCTGTAGTCTATTGTGTGTAATGGTTTTGTTTATTACTCCATTACAGTGGTTACAAGAATCTGTAGAGATAAAGTCTTTGAACACACAATAGTCTAGTCTTCAAATTGAGGGTTGTTTTCTGATGACTGGTTTTCCTGCAGGCCAGATAGTAGGGTCAGGAGTGATACAGACATCATTTCAAAGAGCAGTCTTTATTCTCAGTTATAATGTGCTGTAAAATAGTGGTTAACTTTATGGAATGCTTTAACAGAGCTCTCTTTATGTGTGTGTGAATGGAAGGTGGGGTCAGTGGTGGTGCCGGTGGCTCCAGATGGGCTTTTCCCTGCCATTGGCATGCACTCCCTCGGCGAGGAGGTACGGTTGGACCTGCAGGCAGAATGGGGTTCGGAGGAGGAGGACAGCGTCATGATGGTGGACAGCCATGAGGATGAATGGGCACGCCTGTATGATGTCAGAGTCAGCGGCACGGTGAGTGGGGGATGGCCATCGAAAACCAAACCAAATGTGAAACCAATGAGTTTCATAATCATTTTTGCCTCTGTAGGTCTGTGGAAAATGTTATGAGTTAAGTGCCGGCATGGTGATAGACTGTAAAGTAAACCATATTTTACGCTGGGTTAATTGGAAGTCATGTATTGTTAGGAATTAGTGGTGCTTGCTAAGGCAAGAATCAATATTCCAGTTGCCATATTTAGGCTTAAGGATTGTAACGAACCCTGAACCTTGGCGGACATGAATGATGACGTTTCGTGGCTCATTTCTGAGCAGTTGAATGTACAATTTTCGCCCGGTGGCTGAGAAAACGGGCTCAGAGGTTTGCACTAAAAGAGGAACATGAGCTATATCTAGACACTTTGTGGTGGTGATTTTTGCACAGGGAAGTACCAGTTTGCAATACCTTGGTATTGCACAGTATTCACGGTTCCTAATAGAATGTCTCAGAATTTCTTGGCGCCAGTTACATGGCATTGTACTCAACCACATATTTACATGGCAATGCCGTCAACCAGAGCGTCATGACCATGTTTTCCTGGTAAGAGAGGATCATAGCTGTTTTTCATAGCTGTAGAATTCTGATTACCACCCACATTTGTTTTTACTTGTAAAATCAAATCCTGCTAGTTTTATTCAAACTTTTGTCATACACCAACCATTCAAAAGTATGGGGGTCAGTAAGATTTTTAATCATTTGGAAAGAAGGCTCTTGTGTTCACCAAGTTTGTATTTGGTCAGTAGAGTAAAAATAGTAAAAACGTGAAATATTATTACAATTTAACAGCATAATTACTCCAGTTTTTAGTGTCACATGATCCTTCAAAAATCATACTAATATGCTGATTTGATGCTTAAGAAAAAATACTTATCATTATCAATGTTGAAAACAGTTCTGCTTAATACTTTTTTTGGAAACCATCATACATTTTTAAGGATTCTTTGAATATAAAGTTCAAAAGAACAGCAGTTATTCGAAATGGAAGCTTTTTGTAACATTCTAATTGTCTTTACTGTCACTTTTGATCAGTGTAATGCATCCTTGTTGAATAAAAGTGTTAATTTCTTTTCAAAAGAAAATCTTGCTGACCCCAAACCTTTGAAAGGTAGTGAAGTTCTAACATTATTGCAATAAATATTGTCTGTGTTCCCAACATCCAAGCCTTTTAGTGTTACTTTGATGTAATCCCTGCTTAAAATATTTTGAACCATCATATCTCACAGGTTTTCCCCAATAAATTATGACAGGAATGATGTAAATCCAAAAACCACACATTACTTTACTTCCTGTCAGCCATTTACCAAGTTGAAATTATCATCATTCCTAGAAAAAAACAACAACACCTGGAGGAACGCGGTGATAGAGGAGTCTGCCGAACCCCAATGCGTGTGCGGTTGTGACTGAGTGGAGGGAATTGCTCGCTGGAGGCAACGTGTTTTCACTAGTAATTCCTCAGAGTAGTGTTTAGATAAAGTTGAAAGGAACAAGCAGTCGTGTGTTTGGATTGGTTATGGCGCAGAGACCTCCCAATAGAGTGAGACATCGTGCTCACCTTCCCATCTGATGCCCTGAACCTTCTTTGGCCAATTAATGCTGTACTGAGGTCATGAAAGCATTCGGCATAAAGTGCCGCACTGTTGTTATGCTTCACTGGGCTGATGGCACGAACTGGGCAGCGCAGGCCAGAAATGACACCAGACCATCTTGTAAAAACTCAATAAGAGGACTTACGAGGTGCCAAGGAATCTTTTTGCCTTTCTAAAATGTGGTTTTCTCAGTTGTGTGCCTTCTCTGTCAGTCCCGTTGGCTTGGCGAGAGGGTGTTCCAAGACTTAAAGACTCTGCTGATAAGGGCATGTTTTAACAAGAACCCAAAAACGTTGGTAGATGGAACCAAGTGCGAATGCCCACGTGGTTTAGTTTCCACTGAGTTCGTTTCTTTCAGAATTAGCAATCTCGCTACAAGATGGATTTTGTGCAAAGCACACGCCGTCAGCGGCATGCCAATAATAAAATGATTCTTTTGTATGTTTAATAGCTGAGGTTCGCCAGGCAGCTTTTGAAGATGCTTATCTCCTACTCTTCAGGCACGATCTAATGTAAACCAAGACTTAGAATGTTCTTTCACAGTCTGTCCATTTTGTAGCCTGTCTCCGACGGATCCAACATGCCGTCTGCGGCTTTCAGAACATCACCAGTCATTCCCTCCATTTATGGAGTAGCTCTTGTCTTTCAGTGATAGTTGGTAGGAACACATTTCCATTTTGTGGTAAAATGATTTAGAAATGTCTGTCTTTCAGTAAGACATTTCAGTAAGACATAAAAACAAATGTATTACAGTATTAGTACAGATAATCAACATCAGTGTCTTAAATAATCTTTGTTTATCAAACCAAAGGGGTTTTTCGCGACTTTTATAGGATGTCACCATAGAACAGTGCAATGAATTTAATAGGGACGAACCTCAAGCATTCTGTCATCATTTAATCGCTTTGGAATACAATTCAATTCAATTCAAGTTTATTTCTATAGTGCTTTTCACGATGCAAATCATTGCAAAGCAGCTTTACAAAAAATTAAAGACGCTACATTATATTTAGTAATAGCTTATCAGTGGTGACTATCTCAAGTTGATTTCCATTATAGCAAAATTTTGAAGTTTTGTATGTTGTTAGAGGGTTGGTATCATTTGAGGTCTTCTGAGGGGTTGGCATCATCTTTTCTCAGGTGTTCGGTCTTTTCAGGTCTTGTCTTTGTAAGGTGCTGGATCCAAACTGAAGCTTGTGTAATTCCTGGCATCCCGTGGAATAAACAGAGAAGGTAGAATACAAAATTATTTATTTATTTAAAGGGGTCATATGACACCATTTAATGTTTTCTTTTGTTTTTGGAGTGTTACAAGCTGTTCGTGCATATATAAGATCCGTAAAGTCGCAAAGATTATAGTCTCAAGCCCAAAGAGATAATCTTTCTATAAGTTAAGACTCATTCATGCCTTCCTAAAACGCCTCATTCAAACATGTCCCCACAAAGTCACTGTGTTGGAAGATTTGCATAACACCGCCCAAATGTACATGCAAAGAAAGAAGGCGTAACTTTTATTCTCGTCAAAGTGTTTTTGCCACCACCATGTCGTGGAGATGCTGTGTGTTTCCATATATGGTAAGGGGCATAACATTTCCATAACACGTTTGAGGTATTCGGCCAATCACAACACACTGATAGCTGGCCAATCAGAACACACTGTGCTTTTCAGAATGATGAGCTTTGTAAAAATCAGAAAGGCAGGGCAAAGAGGGGCAACAATGTACGGTATGTGGAAAATAGTGTGTTTTTTGAACCTTAAACCATGTAAACACATTGTGCTACACCAAACACACAAAGTAATGTTCTTTTCATATGACCCCTTTAAACTTTGCATGGCATCGAGGGATTGACGTCAGTGACACCAAACCCTATTGGTCGTTGTGTGTCTTGTAATTAATTGTGACATGGAAAGCTTTAAAGGGGTGGTTCACTGTTTTTTTTCTAGGATTGATTGTGTTTGTGGGGTGCAGTCTAACATGTGTAAATGCTTAGTTAAAAAAAAAAAAAAACATTATTTTTCACATAATTTACCTTTCTTCCACACCGCACTGTCCCTTCTCTGAAAAATGCACTGATCATTTCCTTCTTTTATGAAGCCCCTCCCTCGGAAATAGGTGATGGGCTCTGATTGGTTAACTAGCCCAGTGTGTTGTGATTGGCTAAACCGCCTCTAGTGCGTGTCTAAACGTCCCACCCCTCACCTCAGCGGCATGTGCTCCGGTTGTATTATAAACAGCGGCGGCGTTAATATTGCGTATTAGTTTGAGCCCGGTTGAGAAGCAGAGGATATTATTGAAGAGGATCACGCAAAACCTTTGCAAGTACAGCTTTTAATGGTAGGCCTATGGGTTTTTTTTGTCTCATACTTTTAGATGCGCTGTTATTTGTAAATGCTGCTGCTTATGTTAGCTTTTAATATACGGTTTTATCCTGATTAAAGCTTTAATAGAGTACGGCAACTGCACGCGCGTCCATGTTTAACGCTTCTCATAGCTATGTGAAAATTAATTTGAACAGTTAATTGTTATAGCTGAGCTGAATGAGAGAGCGATAGAGAGAGAGAGAGATGCAGAGCGTGTGCAGACTAGAGCAGGGGAACGCGAGGAACAGGATTGAGAACTGCTGCTTTAGAACATTGAGGCCTCCCCGCCTCCGTGAATCCAAGATTTCCTTGACCTGGTAGACGGAGGCTGTTCGAAGGTCTCTGGAGGAGAAGGCTCCGCTGGTTCCGTGAGTTCTGGTGCAGAAGGAGAGAAGGGGTTTAGGAGGGATACGTGAAAAGAAGGGTGAATTCTGTACTTGGGTGGGAGTTGAAGCTGGTAGGTGACCTCATTTATCTGCCTCTGTATCGGGAATGGACCGATGTAGCGGGGACTCAGCTTCTCGCACAGCAGGTGGAGGCGCAGATCCCGGGTTGATAGCCATACTTGGTCTCTAGGCTGGTAGGTGGGAGTCGAGGAACGCTGGGTGTCCACGAAGGTTTTGTGCCTCTGCACTGCATGTTGAAGGTGGACTTGAGCTGAGTCCCACACTCTCTCGCTCGCTCGGAACCAGTAGTCCACAGCTGGGACCTCCGATGGTTCTTCAGTCCATGGGAAGAGTGGGGGTTGGTAGCCAAGTATGCACTGGAAAGGTGTGAGTCCGGTGGAGTTTTGTCAGAGGGAGTTTTGTGCATACTCAGCCCATGGGAGGAGGCATGCCCAGCTGTGCTGGTCGTCTTGGTAGTATGCCTGGAGGTAACGCCCGAGTTCCTGGATCTTGCGCTCAGTCTGGCCGTTAGTCTGGGCATGATAACCGGAGGACAAGCTCACCCCTAGCAGTTGGAAGAACGCTTTCCAAATGTGGGAGATGAATTGCGGACCGCTGAGACGATATCCTCTGGGACTCCGTAATTCCTGAAGACGTGTGAAGAGCGACTCGGCAGT